AACCGCTGACCTTAAGGTTCGCAGCCCGATTCGTAACCACTACGCTACCAGAGCGTGCATGGTCTGGGATTTTCCTGGAGAGGTTTGACTGGGCTAGCCCTCTTCACGTGTATCAAGCGTGGCAACAATAGTGAGGTGGCCCAGGATCAGACAGTGTTTAGTTCTGCTATGCATAAGGTCACTATGAGTTGGTACCAACTCGATGGCACCTAACAACAACAACAACAACAAACCAAACTTTAGCTATTCCATTGCTCCTGCTTTCTTTGGTGGACATCTCAACTAGATTGAGGGCTATTTGTGGGCAAGGACTGTATCTTATGTATTGATAATATCCACACACTACTTATCACAGTGTTGGTTTTAATCAGTACTTGTTGAGTTTACTCCTTCCGGCATGTGAGCTAAGCCATTACATTTCTGAAACATGCCATTTGCTTGAAGGGTTTAAATGTTAGCTATATTATTTAACTCACATATAAAAATCTTAATCTAATTGCTTTGTGTTGCCTGCTTTCATTTGTCAGTTTCCAAATCTGCTAACAGGTCATCCTAAAGAACTGATGCAAACAGACATCCATGGTTTACAGTGTCCCACCTCCTTCATCACGTGGAGCAGGCTGTTGCTTTATTCCTACAAGTTTTGCTGGTTTCATTGTTGTTGTTTTTTCCTGAAATTGGTTTTTTATGAAATGAGAAATAAATATTATTATATAGAAATGTTTATTATTAAAAGACCCAAGTGGTACAGTGGAATAAAAATATTGGCTCATTTTAACCTCCGGCTGCCTCTTTGTACAAAATTGTGTGACTAAAGTCTTTGAAAAAACAAATAAGAAAACTAGACATCACAACTTCATTTTTATCTCCTAGAATCTCCAAGAAACCAACTCCCTCTGATTTTCTGGTGAAGCAGATCTATTCATGGAATGAGCAAACTATACAGATTATCATACCCGCTGCTTCACTGAAAGGTCAGTGGGAAAGAGAACTTTTCATTTTCAATTCTGCTTATATGTTGAAAATATAACAAGTTTGCATAATAGCATTTTTCTGTATTCATCATGAAGACAAAAAAAGGATAGATTTGCCTGCATATGTATAAGCTGTTTAATAGGTAATAAATAGAAGATGTAATCCTTGCACTAAAGTGGGTGCTGGAGACAAATATGCTACTCATGCTGCCCTCCCTGATCTCTCCAATAGCTGTATTTCGAGGTCCCTCCACTTTCATTTTCCCAAATCCCCATCATCCCAGCATATTATTCCCAGAGGATCCAACGTTTTGTTACATTTCGCCCTTTGGATTTCTCTCAGCAGCGCCTTCACCTTAACTTTCTTCAGTGTGACCTCATCTGATCTCAAAACCCAACTTTTGTGTCCTTTGTCAGACCCTCCTTAACCCTTGGAGTAATTTATTTGCCCTTCTCAGCTACAATAGCACTTTGTGCTTGCCTATCTGATTTACTGTCTTTGCTCCCCACTGGAGGTCAGGCACCTGCATTTCCTAGACTTTCTTTCAGGACCTCCTCTGACTCGTTCTCAACAGAAGTGTATGGTGGAGAGAGTCTTGGCTCTGGGAAGGGCAGATGTGCAGTCAGTTCCATTTCTCCCATAATAGTGTCACCCTGGTTGCTTAGTGATCTGAACTTCCATGTCCTTCCCTGAGAAGGATGCTGGAGCTCTAAGAATTTGAGTGAATTCAGACTGGAACAGATGTTCCAAACTAATCTCCAGACTATCAGATGAACGGACTAGCACTGTATTCTTCACATTTATACTGGGATGTATATTCTTCCTTTGAAATCGAATCACTTTATAGCTATGCATTTATTTTAAAATCCAAATTATCTTAGTTCTCTAATGCTGCTGTAACAGAAATGACACAAGTGAATGGCTGGAGCAAACAATCAGAAATTTATTCTCTCCCAGTTTAGGGGACTAGAAGTTAGAGTGCCACTTCTGGGTGAGGGCTTTTTTCTCTTTGTTGGCTCCTTTCAGCATCTGTAAGCCCAGCAGTCCTTGAAGATCTGTGTACATTTTGGCCTCAGTCTTTCCCCTAGTTCAGGAACCCCAGGTCCAAAGGACACAGTCGATTCCTGGCTCGTCTTTCTTGGTGGCAGTAGATATCTTTGAGATCTACTTGCTTATTTAATCTGTTTTATATCTAAAAAGAGATTGATTCAAGATACAGCCTAGTCTTTTAGGTTGCATACAACCTCATTAATATCAGAGAAGTGAGGTTTTACAAAACAGAGTATTTCATCAGATCAGGGTTGATCATATCATATCACATGGGGGAATGATTATATCATCATACAACTGCTGCATTAGATTTTGACATTACTGTCAAACCACTGAGAATCATAGCTCAGCCAAGTTGATACATATTTTGGGGGACACAATTCAATTGATGACACTAATCAAATACTCAATGGCAAATTTGCAAATGTTGTGCATGTGTTCTTTCTCCAGCACCTTTTTTGTGAACAATTTCAAAATCAGGGAAAAGCATAAAGATTGTACAACAAACACCTGCATACATTTCATCTAGATTTGTGATTTGTGAACATTTTGCTATTTTTGCTTTATCTGATGTTTATATGTATTTTTTTGTGGGAACTGAACCATTTGAAAAAAAAATGCAGACACTGTGATACTTCACTCCTAAATACTTCAACAAGGACATTTTCCTATGTAATTCAGTACCATTGTTGTTGTTAAGTGTTGTCGAGTCTCTTTGAATCCATAGTGACCCTGTATAGAGTTTCCAGGGAACAGCTGGTGAACTTGGACTGCTGACCTTGTGGTTCAAACCAACTTTGCAATCCAGCACATTAACCCACAGCACCACACCAGGACTCCACTCAGTAACATTGTTGTTGTTAGGTGCCATCCAGCCAGTAACAACTCATAGCAACCCTCTGTACAACAGAATGAAACACTGCCTGGTCCTGGGCCAACCTCACTACCGCTGCCACACTTGAGTCCATCAATGATGCCACCTGTCAAATCCATATCGTTGGGGGTCTTCCTCTTTTTCTCTGACCTTCTACCTTACCAAACATGATATCTTTCTCCAGCGACTGGTCCCTCTTGACAACATGTCGCAAGTATAAGAGATGAAGTCTGGCCATCCTGGCCTCCAGGAGCACTTTGGCTGGGCTTCTTCTAACACAGATCTGTTTATTCTTTTGACAGCCCATGGTACTTTCAGTATTCTCCTCCAACACCCTAACTCAAATGCATCAATTCTTCTATGATCTTCCTTAGTCACTGTCCAACTTTCCCATGCATTTTAGGTTATTGAAAATACCATGGCTTGGGTCGGGCACACCTTAGTACTCAAGCAGAGTACCAATAGCAGACCTTAAAATAATATATATTTTTACTAAAGAATATCGTCTACCATGTACTCTGTATTAGTTTTTTATAATTATTCCCTCAAATGGCTTATATATAGTTCTTTTTATTTTTCCTCAGGATTAAGTAAAAAATCATATATGCATTCCATTGTAATGTCTCTTTGTTGTTGTTGTTGTTGTTAAGTGCCATCAAGTTGGTTCCTACCCATAACGACCCTGCATAGGGTTTCCGAGGCTGTAAATCTTTACAAGAACAGAAAGCCTCACCTTTCTCCTACAGAACCACTGGTAGTTTCGAACTGCTGACCTTGAGATTAGCAGCCCAGTTTGTAACCCCTTCTATCTAGGTGAGGGCTTTTTTCTCTTTGTTGGCTCCTGTCAGCATCTGTAAGCCCAGCAGTCCTTGAAGATCTGTGTACATTTTGGCCTCAGTCTTTCCCCTAGTGCAGGAACCCCAGGTTCAAAGGACACAGTCGATTCCTGGCTACCAGAGCTTTTTTAGTCTTGTTAATATATAAAAGACACCCCTCCCCCCATTTTTCCCCATTTTTTTCATGGCATTAACTTTTCACAAAATGAATCTTGGTCAAATGCTGTTTGCATGTCTCACAGTTTAGTTTTGTCTGATGGTTTCATCATGGTAAAATTCAATGTTCGCAAGTTGGACTGGACGTCACATGAGGAGCGTATTGTCCTTACATGACATCAAGAGGTCACAGTGTCACACTATAGGCAAGGCAAGGGCCCATAAATATTTACAACTTTGGACACTTGAAGGAGCAGATCTGCTATCCTAGAGGGTCACAGTGTGACAGAATAGACTCCATGGCAGTTTAGTTTGGGGTTTGGTTTGTTGTAGAGTTAAATACAGTAGTGAGATTGGCCCAGGATCAGAAAATGTTTCATTCTGCTGTGCATAAGGTCACTATGGGTCGATACTGACTCGATGGCACCTAACAACAACAACAACTGAAAGATTGGCAATTTGAACCCACCAGCACTCTGCTGGTAAAAAAAAAAAAAAGTGACAGCTTCCATGAAGATTGCAGCCTTGGAAACACTATGGGAAAATTTTACTCTATCCTATTGGGTAGCTGTGATTCAGGACTGACCCAATGGCAGCAGTTTGGGTTATCTGTCTGTTTTTGTACAGGTGAGGCTAAGTTTGGTCATTTGACACACAAGGAAGTGCTGGACATACTGTTTTCTTTCCCGAATACCCTGTCATTTTCAAATGAAAACCTTGACTTAAAAGCTTTGACATCTTGTTGTTAGGTGCCATTGAGATGGTTCTGACTCATGGCAAGACACTGCCCAGTGCTGTACCAACCTCACAATTGTTGTATGTTTCCATCTGTTTTTGCTGCCACTGTGTGAATCCATCTCTTTGAGGATCTTCCTCTTTTTTGCTGACCCTCCACTTTACCAAGTATGATGTCCTTCTCCAGGTTCTGGCCCTTCAAGCTGTACTTTGAAGACATACTTGTTTGTTCTTCTGGCAGTCCCTGGTACTTTCAACATTCTTCTCCAACACTAGAACTCAAAAACATCGATTCTTCTATAGTCTTTTAATTCATTGTCCAGCTTTCATATGCATATGAGTCTATTGAAAATACCACAGCCTGGGTCAGGCCCACCTTATTCCTCAAAGTAACATCTCTTCTAACACTGTAAAGAGATCTTCTTGCAGCCAATTTGCCAAATGCAATATGTTATTTGATTTCTAGACTGCAGCTTCCATGAGCATTCATTGTGGATCCAAATAAAATGAAGTCTTTGAGAACTTCAATCTCTTCTCTTTTTTTTTCCCCCCCCAAAGGCAAAATGAGTATTTTAATTCCATTTCAGAAAAATATGTCACATGAACATGGATTGGAAAACATGACCCTGAGAAGCTTGTTTCCTGGAAATGCAAGGAAAAGAATAAAAAATTCTTAATATGTTCAACAACAATGCTCAATGGATCTTCCTCTTGCATCAAAGGCTGTAAAAGGCTGTATGTCCTCTCCCCAAAGTACCTGCTCTCAGAGTCAACTCACCCTCTGTATCTCCCTCTAGCTGGGACAAGCTAATTTCTACCACCTCCACCCTCTTTCAGTTACAGTGTGGGTGCTAAACACCCTGGGCTCTGACCAATGAACAGAATTGTCCTTTAAGCCAGCAACCCACAAGCAGTGGCAACCAAAGCCTAATCGCCAACATCCAGGGCAGAGGCCACAGAGCTGGCATTTGTTTCCAGTGTCTCAGAAAGAAGGAGCCAAAAGCTGACCCTCAGCAGAGATCAAAGTCCATAATGAAAACGGAAGCTTTTTTTTTTCCTTCTTTCTGTCTCTCTTTAGAAACAAAGGGAAAACAGAACACTTCTCCATTCTTTTGATTTTACAGAGTTCTGAGCTTCAAGGGGATTTGCAAGCACAATAGGGTTTAATCAAATCAGGAAAACTTTGCCCTGGCTGGAGCTAGTAAAAAAGGTCAATGTGATGATTTGTAGTAATTTGTTGAGAACCTCAGCAATTCACATGGCTGCCCTACATAATGAAAGCCAAGACAACTGCTCCAGACCTTGTCCTAGGTCCCACATCAAGTGTTGAATTCCAGTCCAGGTGTGCTACATTAGAGGTGAGACACAAACTTAGCTGTGTCTATCAATGCTGGACCCAGGGACTTCACAAGTTTCAAAGGAGACTCAAAGTTCCCAGAGATCAACAGGGTGAACAAGCCAAAAGGAGAAACTCCTACCAGAGCCACGGTGTTAAATGGACATCGCCATAGGAAGAGACCAGCTGTAAATAGTGATGTGGGGAGACAATGGACAGTTTGAACCCATGCTCTTATTCCAGCACTGCTCCATCTCTTCTTTGGCTGTGGTTCCCAAAGGAAGAGCATTTTGATACAGAGCTGAGGACTAAGCTGGGCACCGAGGCAGTGACGGCCAGCAGGTCTCAGCAAGAGAGCAGCCATCTTGGATTCCAGACTGGACGGAAGTCAAACTTCAACCTCATCTTCATTTATCATGATGTTATTTATTGGTCTAGTTGTGACAATATGTGTTTCCTTTTGTTTACATTGAGCTGCAACCCATATAAGGTACCTAATAACATGTTAAAGAGGTCTTGTGCAGCAGATTTGCCTGCGTGCAATATATCCTTGGATTTCTTGACTACTGCTTACATGAATGTTGATTGTGGAGCCAAGCAAAATGATGTCTTTGACAACTTGAATCTTTTCTCCATTTATCTTTATGTTATTTATTGGTCCAGTGGTGAGGATTTTTGTTTTCTTTATATTGACAAGCAACCTTTACCAAAGGCTATGGTTTTTGATCTTCATAAATAAGCATATTTCATGTTGTTAACGAATCTTCCTCCAATCCCAATGCCTCATTTTTCTCCGTATAATCCAGTTTCTCAAATTATTTGCTCAGCATACAGATTGAATAAGTGGAATGAAAGAAAACAACCCTGGTTCTTTTCTGTTTTCTGATTTTAAACCATTTCCTGATTTTAAAACATTCAGTGTTCCCTTGTTCTGTTCGAACTGCCTGTTGATCATTATACAGGTTCCTTATGAGCACAATTAGATGTTCTAGAATTACCAATTTTTGCAATATTATCCATAGTTTGTTATGAACAGCTGAATGCCTTTGCATAGTCAATAAAGCACAAATAAGCATCTTCTGGTATTTTCTGCTTTCAGCAAAGATCTGTCTGACATCAGCAATGATATCCCTAAGTCCACATTGTCTTTTAGAATAAATTTGATTCTGTTTTGAATTTCTGGCAGCTCCCTGTCAATATATGGCTGCAACCATTTTTAGATTATCTTCAGGAAAATTTTACTTGCACTAGTGATATTAATGATATCGTTTGATCATTTCTGTATTCCATCTGTATTCCTTTGAAATGGACGCAAATATTGATCTCTTCCCGTTGGTCGACTAGGTAGCTGTTTTCCAAATTGTTGGCATAGACCCGTAAGTGTTTCCAGGGTTGTATCAGTTTGTTGAAACATTTCAGTTTGTATTCTGTCAATATCAGGAGCCTTGTTTTTCACCAGTGCCCTCAGTTCAGCTTGGATTTCTTCCTTCAGTAACATCAGCCCTTCATCATATACTACCTCTTGAAACGACTGAGCATCAGCCAATTATTTTTGGCGCAGTGACTCTGTGTATTCACTCCATCTTCTTTCCGTGCTTTCTGAATTATTCAATATTTTGCCCATAGAGTCCTTAAGTATTGCACTCTGCAACTTAAATGATTTTCTTCAGTTCTTTTGACTTGAGAAATGCTGAGCATGTTCTTCCCTTTTGGTTTTCCAACTCCAGGTCTTTATATATTTCATTATAATAACGTTACCCTTTCTTCTCAAGCTGCTCTTTAAAACTTTTTGTTCAACTCCTTTAACTTCATTTTTTCTTCTAGTTGCTTAAGCTTCTCTAAGTTCAAGAGCAAGTTTCAGAGTCTCTTCTAACATCCATTTTGGTATTTTCTTTCTCGCCTGTCTTTTTAACAACTTTTGTTTTCTTCATGTATGATGTTTTGATGTCATTCCCACAACTCCTGGTTCCGTTCGTGTCTAATGCATCACATCTGTTTTTGAGATGGTTCTGAAATTCAGGTAGGATCTACTGACTGTCATATTTGAGTTTTTATAGACTTGTTTGTATTGTCTTCAACTTTAACCTGAACTTACATATGAGCAGTAGGTTCCTAGCCTTGTTTTGGCTGATGATATTGAATGTCTTCATCACGGTTTCTACATATATAGTCAGTTTGATTCCTTATGTATTCTATCTGGTAAGGTCCGTGTGTATAGTATCCATTTATGTTGTTGAAAAAGGTATTTGCAATGAATAAGTCTTTGATCTTGAAAAACTCCATCATGTTATCTCTACTTATTTATTTCTACTACCAAGGCCATATTTTCCAACTACTGATTCTTCCTCTATGTTTCCATCTTTCACATTCCAATCACTAGCAATTGTCAATGTATCTTGATTGCATGTTTGATCAATTTCAGACTGAGGAAGTTGGTAGAATTCTCAATTTCATCCTCTTTGACTTTAGTGGATAGTCCATATATTTCAGTAATAGTGGTATTAGCTGATCTTCCTTGTTGGCATATGGATTTTATCCTATCACAGACAGCATTGTGTTTCAAGATTGCAATGTTCTTTTTCCTGATGAATGCAATGCTATTTCTCTTTTATCTTTTATTCCCAGAATAATAAACCATAAGATTGTTTGATTCAAAATGGTCAGTACTAGCCTAGGATATCAGTCTTATGCATTCCATTTCATTTTTGATGACTTCCAATTTTCCTAGACTCACAATTTGTACATTCCACATTCCAATTATTAATGGATTTCTATTTCTTCTCCTTTTGTGTTGTGCCCCATCAGCAAATGAAGGTCCCGAAAGCTTTGTTTCATCATTTTCATTAAGGTCAACTTTACTTTCAGGAAGCAGTTCTGCCGTAGTCATAGCTTAGGGATTCTCCCTGATGCATTCATCTTCTAGTACTATATTAGACAGTTTTCTGCAAGTATTCATAAGGTTTTCCAATGGCTAATCCTTCAAAATTGGTACACTTCTCTGTCTTCCTAATCTCTCTGGAAACTCTGCTAAATCCTGTCCACCATGGTCCCCTTGCTGATATTTAAAGTACCGGTATCATAGCATCCCACATCACAGCAACACACAAGCCACCACAGCATGAGAAACTGACAAATTGTGGTGAGCTTTGACTAGTTATTATTTTGATTCCCAGTTTAAGTGCTCGTGGAAGATAGAATGGACAGAAATTGAAAACTGGTCCCTTTCAAAAGAACCCTGATTGTGCTGTAGACTGATTGGGCTGCTAATTGCAAGGTCAATGGTTCAACCCCACCAGTGATGTGACTCAGTGTATGCTCTTGTAAAGATTTATCGTTTCAGAAGCCCTAAGGAGAAGTTTTACTCTGTTATATATAGGGTTTCTATGAATCAGAATCTACTCAATGGCAGTGGACTTGGCCTGGGTTTGGTCCTTTCCAATCCCTGCCATCTCCTGCTCTTGATTCCTGTCTGCTACTCTTGACACGTGTTTGCTATGCATAGATAATGCCTTTTTGTCATTTTCAGGTTTTAATTTTCTATTTTTAGGTGCCAGCTTGGGTTACTTGACCTTATTAGATGCTGACTATGACAGAACACCTGCAAACAAGTATCTAGCTAACGTTGTAAACTATGTTGTGGACTTCCAGTGGATCCAGTGCCTATTTTGGGATAAGAGAGGATGGAAATCTAACACCTTCCCTCCACAAGCAGGAACTGTTCCAGAAAAGGTTAACTGCAGGTATAGATACATGGCTCGGAAGGAATATAGGCTCTTAGTCAGTGACTATATTATCTTCTGCATTTGGCCTACCCCCTGGTTCTTTTCTGAATCTTTTCTTCCTATAAAAATAAAAAGATTTAACTTTGGCTCATACAACTCCAACCATATGTGATTTTTGTTACATATGTGTATAGTAGCTGCCATCAAATCAGTCCCAACTTATGGTGACTCCATGCTCAACAGAATGAAATGTCACCTGAGTCTGTGTCATCCCCATGATCGCTTATAAGCCAGGCCATTGTGACCCATAGGGTTTTCACTGACTCGTTCCTGGAGTAGATCACTCGGCCTTTCTCCCTTGTCTACACTGTCTAGCAGTGTACAGATAGGTGAAGGCTACACATGAGGAATATTGGTCAGGAAGCAAACCTGGGTCTCCACCTGGGAGGGGGGAATACTACCACTGAGGCATCAGTACCTGCAAGTGCCTCTGGAGTCCTCTCATTCTCGGGTCTTGTCTGCAAGTCTTGATTCTTTGCTGTGGTCTCCCAGGTGCAGGGTCTGGATGATATAATTACTCTGTGCACTCACACAGTTCCAGTGGGAACTGGTATATAACTGGTGTTGAGGAAATGTCTATTGAAGGAATCCATCAATAAATGGATGCTACTGCTCTGGATTGGTAGACTTTATGATCATAGAAGCCCTGATAGTCCTTAGGAGTGAGTAGTTTTTATCCAGGTGATGGGGGTCTTTGTTCTCACAGTGTGCCACCATGTGCCTTATTTCCTTGCCTCATGCGGGGGATTGTGAAAACGAATTTTATGGCACAATAAAAGTCTCTGAACAATGGGCAACTCTCTCTGGAATCTTTGGATATATCAGCCATATCACTAAGTTAGAAATTCTTTATTATCTATCTATAAAATTGACTATTCTGTTAGAGGCTAAAAATCATCATTTTTACTGTTGTCTTTTCATTAGACTAGAGAAATAACTAATTATTATAATACCAGGTGTTCTGGTGTGGCACTGTAAGATAGCACTAGACCACAATGTTGGTTTGAACCTCAAGGTCAGTGGTTCAAATTCAACAGCCACTCATTGGACCTATACAGGGTCACTGTGAGTCAGAACTGACTCAGCGGCACTTAACAGCAACAATACATACTTCAAGAGAAAGATGAGACTTTCTGTTCCTGCAAAGATTTACTATGCAGAGTCAGTGAGTCAAATCCTACACGGCACTTAACAATACATACCTAGAAGTAGAAGTATTTCCTTTATTAGAAAAATGTATCCATAGGGATTGCATGCCATGGTTGCCTTTTAGGAGTCCAATATGTCCAGACCATAACGTACACAGTGTAATTCATAAACCATTGATTGATTGCTTATGTTTTACTCTGACATTCACATGATGCCATTGCTAGGAACACGCAGAAACCTACTGCTAATGGTCCGGTTTTTCATTTCAGTATTAAACTATTTGCTAATCCGGTCATCTCTTGTTCATTCACTATTAAACACTACTCTCTGTTAAGCATTTTTTCTATGAACTGGAGATACAAAATGAACACAGTATGGGACCTGAACAGATGAATGAGAGAGAGATGGCTTTTACTTTAAAAAATGACAGAATGGATAGTGGTTGTCTTGGTAGCTATTTATAATGCTAGGGACTGGCATTTAGGAAAAAAGGCTAGCAGAGGTTAACTAGTTGACAAGGTCAAGTCACAGCTAGGTTGCACTTTGAGCCTAAGATTCTTTTAATTTTAGAGATCCAAGCTGAAATGTAGATAGGGCTCTAATAGAGATGTATGCAGTGCACTAGGATGTCTAGAAGGGGAGTACCTAGTGTCTCAGATAGTGAAGGGCAGCTACAATGTGAGCTGTGTGCTCAAGAGCTCAGAGCAAATAATGTCAGACATACCCTGAGAACAGAATCCCTCCTTTCTAACTTCGTTTGTAGCTGAATTCTCTGAACTGAATCTAATTCATAAAGGGCTAGCTATAAGAATGTTCCTTCCTTTTTATCCAATGCATGTTCATATTGTAAAAACCTGCTGTTGCCTGATTGGTTTGGTGGGTCTTCCTAATTGGTATTTCTCTCCCAGCTATGATCACCTGACAACATTCACTCTCGTAAGAAGACAGCTGAATGCCAGTTTTGAAATGAGTGACATTTCTGAATTACAGAGGTAAGTTCAATTTTCTCAATCAAGACAAAGATAAATTCACTACCCAAGTTTACTTCAGCAAATACTTGAAATCCATGTTACTTGCTGTCATTTGGTTTCTTGGAATAGTCATAATTAAAGATAATTATCTTTAAATATTAAATGAATATCTATCTATCTGTACTTACGTACTAAAATTACATTCACTGAAAGGAAATGTATACATTTTTAAAAGTCAGCATAATTTTTTTTCCCAAAAGCTTACTTTTAGTTCAGTGTAAATTTAGTTAATCGTTCCAATTAAATTAATACTTACAGTGATATTATGGCCTGATGTGTCCATTGTAGTTTATGGCTATTATAATGGTCTAAATATTAATAACTTCCTCCTTCTCCCTCAAGTGTCTCATTTTAGATGATAAGCTTTTGAAAAATCATTGTTTATATAGAACAAATATATTTTAGATTCTGGAATATTTGTAAACTCTATGCAGTCAAGAGCTTTCTCTATCTTGTCCTTTAATGTAGTCCCCCTCTTAGTACAGTGTTCGACTGGAGCAGGCTTTCAGTAAATGTTTACTTAGTTGCTGGCAGTTAGTGTTGAGTGTTAAGTTTTTCTTGCTCATATAGATGTAATTGTACCTTACTTTATTATTTCATGAATCGTCAAGGAGTTGACTGTTTCATTGACTAGCAATCATTACCAAGATATCATAAACTATGAATGCTGGCCCAAATGAAGATCACCCTCAGTCAAGCAGTTCACTGAGGCATTGGTGCTATTGAGGATACAAGGCATCAGGTGGTCCCTTACTCAGGGTGTCCAGGCACAGGTAGCATGTTAAATTATGCAGGAGTGGCATTCTGGGAGATCAGTCAGAATTTAGGAGGTTCCAGGAGCTTAGTCCAGGTGCAAGAAGAAGACAAGGCTGGAGCTAGGTGAGCTGTGAGCACCCTGCCAAGCATAGTTTCAAGATAAGAGTCTTGCCTTACATGGAAGAAGCATGCCAAGCAGAGTGACCAAGACTGGAGCCCAACCCTTAGATGGAGCCAAAGTGGACAGGGACAACATTCGCACACAATGTGGGCCCCCCTAATGCCTACCTCCTTAAAATACCATCTAATGTCTTTAAGACTCAATTCCATGTGGAATGCCGTATCAGGGTTATGGAGTGCCATCACGGTGACTTGATGGGACCCTATTCTGTGGGTCTGCAGGCTTGTAGTATCTTTCCTACAAACCAGAACTGGGGTCTGGGAAAAGAAAAGTGAGTATAGTCTGCAGACAGAAAGCATCTCCACCTGTGGTGCAGATGGGATACAGAAGATGGGTACTGGGACCATCTGATGGTGTGAACTGCTGGGAGGAAAAGGAGGGAGGAAGAGAAATAAAGAACATTTACTGCATCTACCTACCTACTTGAGACAATTTTTTATATGTTATATTATTGAGTCTTCATAATAACCGAATGAGATCCATTTTCACAAAGCAAGTTCTCAAAGGAAAGAAGTGATTTGCCTAGAATGGCATGGCTTTCAGAATGGTGAACTGGGCTCATCAGAAATGTCCTTGGATTCTGGAATCCATGCTTCGGGTGCTGGTCCCTGGGCCACAGGGAAGCTTTTTGGTCTTTAAAAGCCCTTTTGATTCAGCCTCAAGCATTTTCTTCCCTAAGAGGTTCAAAACCAGTCCAAGATTTCCAGAAGGGTATTATCTTCTCGCCCACTATCCCAACAAAAATCTCCTCTCCTCTCCCTTCCCTTTTCCTCTCCTCTTCCCTCTGTTCTCCCAGTTACAAAGTAAGAGTTTAAAAACATTGGACCCATTGGGGACTTATGTGGGCGTGCAGGGGGTGGGTCGGGGTATGTGTGGTCAGTCCGTCTTTTCATAGATGTTTATTTCATGAATAATTTACTTTCCATTTCTCTCTTTTGATTGACAGTCACCCAGAAAACCCGATTCCCTGTATTTTTATTGTGCTCTTCATGATTATTTATGTACTTTTGGTTACTAAAAGCAAACATGTTGATAGTCATGAAAAAAAGAAAACTGGTTACATTTTTCTGCAAGAAAGTGCCTCACCTACTCAACACTTGTATGCAGTAATTATAGACACCGGCTTTCGTGCTCCAGCCCAGATGACTGCAAAGGTAACCCTTGGTGGCTTTTTTTTTGGGGGGGGGGAGTGGGGGGGCAGGGGGCTGACTTTTTTTTTTTTAATGTTTTTTTGTGAATTATGTGATAGTTTACGTAAAAGAACATTTGTTTTATATTCATCCTAGCATATATTGCTACATTGCCATGGTTACAATCCCCTCCATGCATCATCAACCAACCAAAGGGAATACCCTGCAAGCCTGCCCCCCACTCCCACCCCGGTCATCAGCACACAGCCCCTCTCCCTCTCTGGATCTAAAGTCCCCAGCTGCTCCATCTCTCCATGTCATTGTCTCTGCCTCCATCTCCGGCGTCACTGCTTCTCTGGGTAGGGTCCCACACTCCGCTCTTCTACCTTGATGGTCCCAGGGACCTCTGCTCCTGGACTGCAAAGTCAACCACTCCCCTCCTTTTGCTACAAAATGTCTAACTTTACATGTCCAACCCTCACAGTCAGCCCTGATAGCAATTATTCACTATTGTACCACATGAGTGCTATCCCCATCCCTTTCAGCAGTCCCACCCAATCAGATTGGATACTACTTAGTGGAGATTTTACCTTCATCTGCACCCTCTGCATCTAGGCTCCCTCTTGAAAGCTTGTAAGCCAGTCAATTCTTGCCATTGTAGCCCCCTACCCCCACCATTTTGGGTAACCAATGTCTAAGTTGCCCATCACTGTCTACCCTGTGTATCGATGGGGTGATCCTTGCTGTAAAGATTTGTTCCCTCTTTTGAGCTACTGCATCCATAGATGTAGGTTAAGTTCATCAAATTGTATCAGATTACTCTTTTTTTCCTCTTGTTTCTTCTTCTAGTTGAGCTCTGATCATCCAGTCATTGAAGCCAGGTCAAGTGGGTATTATCTACAAGTGTAGGTGTTCTTGTGTGCATATACCCTCTCTTCTTATCAGCTGGATGCATCATTTTCCACTTTAGTCCTATGTCACTGTCTCTGAGCCCAAGAGCCCCCAGATCTTGCCATACTGCTGGCCAACCAGGTCTCTACCCAGGTTCACAGGAGTCTATTGAACGTGGTAGGACTTAGCTCACAGCTTCATTGCTGTTTTCCCCTCTCTTCCCCTTATTGGTGACCAACGTGGTCACCAGTTAGAGCACATGTCTGCTCGTGTAACCCTTGGTGGCTTGAGAGATGCCACCTGGCTGTGTCTGAAGGGTGTTGACACCCATGATTCAGGGCACCAGCAATGCATGATTTGAGAGCTTAACAAAATTGCTGAGTGTGAGGTTAAAATTAAAACATCAGAGGCATCTCAATTTAGCAACAACAACCAAGTAGATCATGCAATAGTAAAGAAAATTCTCTTTATCACAACCACAAAATGATGAGGTGTCTACAAATAACTTCACTAGTTACAAAACCATCTTGGAAAAATTTTGCCAACTATCCGTAAAGAAGCTGAATAATAAAACATTTTATTTTTTCATGAATGAAAAAAAACTAATTTTCCCATGTCGATTTAACCCAAATTAATCTAATTATAGATGTAATAACAACAACAATAATGATAGCAAATGTGAATTGGGGCTTTGCTACATACAATGTGCCCTCAAAAGCAGACACAGAGGGAAGTTGGGAGAAAGTATAAAGAAATCTCCAATCCAGCATAATCTAGTTCGTTGTGGCAAATATCTTGGACTCACTACTACTGTGTCTTTGTTTTGTGAGGTTTACATCGTTTTATATGGTGAAAATGGACTTTCAGAAACCAAAGAGCTCTACTGTCCAGAGAAGCCACTATTTGAAAGGAATTCCAGGCACACTTTTATACTGAGGTACTTTGAACTATTTTGACTGCAATATTTGAGAGAGACCATCAGACTTAGTGTATCCTTATTATAAATCCAAAAATACAGAAATACATTAATATTAGTACCCAATGCCAAGAATTGTACATACAAACTATTTCATACTTTTAGTTTGTCATGTGAAAAAAAATCAGTTTGTTTAGGTGAAGAAGGGACAAAGGAAGAGTAGGAAAAATGGAAAAGAGATTTGATCATTGATTTTAAATGCTAGTAAGAGTTTATAATCACCTTTCCTGTGACATTAAAGCTCCTGCATTTACTAAGATTCACCCCACATTTGGAAGAATGGGAGCAGAAAGATATTGGGACTGGGGGAAAATGGATAATTTATCAAGACATGAGTATACACATGTTTAAAAATATAAAATCTGAAATATAATATTTTTATATTTTAGATTTTATATATAAAATTAAATATATAATTTCTAGAACATACTTTTTATAAGATTTACTGATTTAGACTCTTATGTCCTCCACATAGAATAAAAGTTTAATGCGGACTAATCCAAGCTAGATATAAATGAATTACTGAGATTTTGTTAAATTTGGTAAAAGGGAACTAGTGGGTGCTAAGGACCTATGTGTACAGTCACTGTTAATGGGGTGTTGTAGCCACCTACTTTGACATGATTAGAGGGGCCTCCAAGAATTAATTGTTCACCTCATGCACATACATGCTCCATAGCATTGCATCTGCTCTCTGTATATGATAATTATTTATTACATATCTCATACACATGGGGTCACATGAGTCAGCGTCTCCTTCATGACAACTGATTTTATATATGTGATGCATTCCATGCTATCTAATATGCCTTAAGGGTAAGAACCAGGTTTCTCTGTACCCCAGGCCAGCCAGCCCAGCACACATTGGCTGATGAGATACTATTGCATATATCCACAGTGCTCCTGGTCATCTCGGTCCTCTTTGGAAGATTCGTCTCTGGCATAACAACTCTGGTCCTTCTCCAGGCTGGTACATTAGCCACGTACTGGTGAAGGAGCTGCACACTGGGCAAAGCTGGTTCTTCCCTGCGGAGTGCTGGCTTGATGCGTATCGAGGGGATGGAAGGGTGGAGCGGGAGCTCATCCCCCTGCACCAAGGGCTCGGCTTGTGGAAGGTAGGCCAATCAGAGGGGACCCCGCCACCACACATGCTTTTGCGTACCGCTCTCTTTAGCACTGCCTTTTTCACTGTAGTCAGTTTTTACAAACTTGTCTAAAATTAAATTTATTATTTGTATCCTTAATTACCAAGATACTGATATTGTAAATGATGCAGACATTAAGTGACCACCCAAGCATGTATTAATGGCCTGTTTAATGATTGATTATTTTTGTGGTGTTTTTCTAATTTTAATTGTTAAGTATAATAACATTTATGAAAATTGTGGTTGTTGGATATGTGTGCCGTTCAGGGGCCTCTTGGCGTCCTCTGTATACACCCTAAATAACCAAAATAACTGGTGAACAGAAAACAGATATGGACAGATTGTGAAAAGAGACAAAAATCACCCATAATCTCACAAACTGACCATGATGCTATTCATTTTCTTATGTTACCATCTAATCTCGCCTTATGTACTAGTGTATTTAAGGAGAAACAACAATGCTTGTGCATCTTGTGTTTGTAATTCAACATTTTAGAGTAGGCTTATTTATGTGATTCTTAGAAATTGTCATTTAAAGACCACACGATTGTTCATTGTCACTATTGTCTATTTAACTAACTATCTACCTATTTGGACATTGACGTTTTTCTCCTGTTTATTTCTATTGTAGAGTGCATTGTTTTTCTGGTGACAGTTTCTCAGACTGTGTTTCGAACAGTGATAACACAACAATTAGTGTGAACACTTGCCCTGCTGTTGCTTCTGTTGCCCTTGTCCTTCCTTTCCCGTGTGTTCATGCAGTGTTTGAGAGGGCCAAGTTCAGTACTTTGGCATTTTCAGGCTTGGCATTGTTAGTTTAGTCAGCAAACAATGAATGGGTCTTAATTACTTAGTGCTGCCATAATAGAAATACTACAAGGGGTGTTTAAAGAATAGAATTCCATTTTCTCACAATTTTGAAGGCTAAAGATCCAACTCAGGGTCTTTGCTATGTCAACTTCTTCCTATGCACCTGTCTCCTTGACTTCCTAGATCCCAGGTGTCCCTTTGCTGAGGATGAACAATCCTTTCGTATTGTCTATCTTCCCCCCGACCCCATGCACTTTTGTGTGTGTCTATTTTGTTCTTTTTTTCATTCAGAAGTGTTTTTTTGGAATTCACCCTTCACTGGTATGATTTCAACTGATGGGTTGATTATACTACATTAGATTGTGCTGTGGAAGATGATTACATTACATTACAGAAGGCCAACTGATTTTGATCACACATAATTACTCCAGGACAACAACTAGAATAGTAATTGCCAAACAACTGGGAACCATAGCCTAGCCAAGGTGACACATAAAATCAACCACTCCAAATGGATTTGAAACCCAGTTTTTGATCATCCACAACATATTCTTTAGCACCTAAAAATGAAGACCCAACCTAATTGTGACTTTATTATTCCTGTAAAAGAATGACTATTTACCTGGTTAAATATAACGATCGGAAATACAGATTATTTATTTTTAAACTGTTTTACTTGGTAACTTTTTGTGAGAAACCTATACTTGTTCGTTTAACGATACATCAACACACGTGGCTTTGTCCTGGGACTCAATCATTATATGCATGCTGCCCAGTTTTTATTGAAAAGGACTTCTTTTCGTTCTGTTAAAACTGTTTTGCTGGTATTGTCGTCTGCATTCCACTTGTATTCCATAATAATAGTTCTATTTATCATTATTTTTCTAGAAGAATCTTGACCACAAAATATTGTTTGAATTGAGCTGAAATTAAAATTCAGCTCAATTCCCTAAGTAGTGTTACAGTGAACACTATGCAGGACACTGATATGGAATAAGGGCACAGTCGGAAATCTCAGTGCCCTCGAGGCTTATTAAACATTAACAATGTTTAGGGGTCCTGGTGTGGCATTGTAGGATTAACACAGATTGCAGATAAGTAGGTATGATGAAAGGCCACATTCCTCACACACCTTTCTTGCGTTTAAACCTTGTTCTATTTGAATGACTGTCTCAGTCTAGATATAGGTTCCACATTAGCTCTGTTATATGTTCTGGAATTCCCATTCTTCACAATGTTATCCTCACTCCGTTATGAGCCACATAATTGCCTTTGCAGTCACTAAAACACAGGTAAGCATCTTTCTGGTCATCTCTGCTTTCAGCCAAGGTCCATCTGACGTCAGCAATTATATCCCTCATTCCATGTCCTCGTCCAAATTCAGCTGAAATTTCTTTCAGTGCCCTGTTGATGTACTGCTGCAACTGTTTTTAAATTACCTTCAACAAAAGTTTACTTGCACTGAATATTACTGATATTATGTGGTCATTTCCGCATTCCATTGGACTACGTCTTCTTTAAAATGAACAGGAATATGGATCTCTTCCAATTAATTGGCCGAGTAACTGTCTTCCAAATTGCTTGGCATAGATGAGTAGGTGTTTCCAGCATTACATCCATTTGTTGGAACATCTCAATTGGTATTCTGTCAATTTCTGGAGCCTTGAGGTTTTTTTTTGTTGTTGTTGCTTAGCTTAGATTTCTTCCTTCAGTATTATTGGTTCTTGACTACACGCTACCTCCTGAAGTGGTTGAACATCAATTCTTTTTGGTACAATGACTCTGTGTCTTCCTTTGATCTCCTTTTGATGCTTCTTGCCCATAGAGCTCTTCAGTATTGCAATTTGAGGTTTGAATTTTGTCTTTAGTTCTTTCAGCTTGAGAAATGCTGGTGTCTTCTTCCCTTTTGATTTTCTAACTCCAGGTCTGTTCATATTTCATTATAATACTTGACTTGGTCTTCTGGAGCTGTCCTTTGAAATCTTTGGTTCAGCTTTTTACTTTATCATTTCTTCCTTTTGCTGTACCTATTCTGTATTCAGAGTACCCATATGGTGTTACAGGATAAGCACTGGACTGCTAACTACAACATCAGTGGTTCAAACCCAACAGCCACTCCTTTGAAACACTATACGGTGTCGCTATGAGTTGGAACCAACTCCAATGGCATTTAACAACAAACAACAGGTCTGTGTTCAAGAGTAAGTTTCAGAGCCTCTTCTCATATCCATTTTGTTCTTTTATTGCTTTCTTGTCTTTGAAATGACCGTTAGCTTTTTAATTTATGATGTCTTTGTTATCATTTCACTTCTTAATTGGACTTTGGTCATTATGTTCAGTGTGTCAAATCTGCTCTTGAGATGATCTGTATCTAACTTCAGATGGGAAATACTCAAGGCCATATTTTGGCTCTTGTGCACTTGTTTTATTTTTCTTCAGCATAAATCTGAACTTGAAAATGAGCAGTTGATGGCCTGTTTTGCGTTCAGCCTGACCTTGTTCTAACTGATGATATTGAGTTTCTCCATCTCTTTCCACAGGGCTCTGTAGGATAAGCAATGGACCATAAACCACAAGCTTGGTGGTTTGAGCCCACCAGCCATTCTGCAGGGGAAAGATGAGGGGTTTTGCCATGCTAAGGTTTACAATGGCATGTTTACAGCCTCAGAAACTCTATGCAGGGTTATTACGAGTATTAACTGACTTGATAACACTTAGCAATAACAACAACATATCTTTCCACAGATCTATTCAATTTGATCCCTGTGAATTGCATTTGTCAAGGCCCACATATATTGTTGTTTTGGGGTGCCGTCGATTTGGTACCGACTCATAATGACCTTATACACAACAGAACGAAACACTGCCCAGTCCTGCACCAACCTCATAATCATTGCTACACTTGAGCCCATTTCTGCTGCCACTGTGCCAATCCATCTTTTTGGGGGTCTTCCTATTTTTCACTGACCCACCACTTTGCCAAGCTTGATGTCCTTCACCAGGGACTGGTCCCTCTGGATAATAATGTTCGAAGAATGAGAGACGAACTTTGTCCATACTCACTTCTTAGGAGTATTCTGACTGTACTTCATCCAACACAGATTGGTTTGTTCTATTGGAGGTCCATGAAACTTTCCATTTTCCCTCCAACACTATAACTCAAGTGCATCAATTCTTCTATGGTTTTCTTTATTCATTGTCAAACTTTCACATGCATATGAGGTTATTTTAAATACCGTGGCTTGGGTCAAGTGCACCTGAGTCCTCAAACTGATATTCTTGTTCTTCAGCACTTTAAAGAGGTCTTGTGCAGCAGATGTGCCTAATGCAATATGCCATTTGATTTCTTGACTGCTGCTTCCATGAGTATTGATGGTTGATCCAAGCAAAATAAAGTCTTTGACAATTTCAATCTTTTCTCTATTTATCTTGATGTTATGTATTGGTCCAGTAGTGAGGATTTTTGTAATCTTTACATTGAGGTACAATCCATACCAAAGGCTGTGTTTTTAAATTTTCATCAGTATTTTAAGTTATTTTTGCTTTCAGCAAGCAAGGTTATATCATCTGCATATTGCAGCTTGTTATTGAGTCTTGCTCCAGTCATGATGCCAAGTTCCTCAAATAATACAGTGTCTCAAAATATTTGCTCAGCTACAGATTGAATAAGTATGGTGAAAGAATATAACCCTGGCTCACACCATTGCTAATTTTAAACCCCTTGTTCTGTTCAAACAACTGCTTCTTGGTGTATGTACAAGTTTCTCAGGAACACAATTAAGTGTTCTGGAATAGTTGTCCATAGCTTGTTAGAATCCACACAATCAAAAGTCTTTGTGTAGTCAATGAAGCACAGGTAAACATCCTTCTGGTATTTTCTGCTTTCAGCCAAGATCCATCTGATGTTGGCAGTGATATCCCTTTTTCCACGTCCTCATCTGACTCCTACTTGAACCTCTGGCAGTTCCTTGTCAATGTAATTTTGCAGCCATTTTAAAATTATCTTTAGTAAAATTTTACTTGCATGTGATATTAACGATATAGTCCAACGGTGTCTACATTCCATTGGGTCAGCTGTCTTTGGAATCGGCACAAATCTGGATCTCTTTCAATCAGCTAGACAAATGTGTTGGCCTAGATGAGTGAGTGCCTCCAGTGCTGCACTGGTTTGTTGAGAGATTTCCATTTGTATTCCATCAATATCCACACGCCTACAAAGAAGACCAGTTAAGACAACTAGTATTCAAGTTTATGCACCAACTTCTAAAGAAAGCGAAGATGATATGGAAGAATTCTGCCAACTTCTTCAATCTGAAATCCACCAAGCAGGCACTCAAGATTGGAATGTAAAGGTTGGAAACAAAGAGGAAGGATCATTTGTTGGAAAATATGGCCTTGGTGATAGAAACTTTCCACAAATATAGTCACTGTTTATGTTATTGAAAAAAAGTATTTGCCATGATTTAATCTCTGGTTTTACAAGATTCTGTCATATGATATCTTGCATCATTTCTATCTCCAAGGCCGTATTTTCCAAAGCAATCCTTTTTCCGTTTCCAGCTTTTGCATTCCAATCACCAGTAATTTGATCGTTTGCATCTTGACTTCAAGTTTGATCAGTTTTAGACTGCGGAAGTTGGTAAAACTCTTCAAACCCTTCATCCTTGGTATTATTGGTTGGTGCATAAATTTGAATAATAATAATACTGCTTTTCCGTATAGGTGTATGGATATTATCGTATCACTGACAGAGTTGGATTTCAGGATGTTGTTGTTGTTGTTGTTGTTGTTAAGTGCCGTTGAATCGGTTCCGACTCATAGCGACCCTGTACAGGGTTTTCAAGGGTGTAAATCTTTACGAGAGTAGAAAGCCTTATCTTTCTCCTGTGGAGCGGCTGGTAGTTTCGAACCGCTGACCCTAAGGTTCGCAGCCCAATTCATAACCACTACGCTACCAGAGCTCCTTGTATTCAGGAAGGAGCTTGCAATGTTCCATTTGACTATGAATGTAATACCATTTCTCTTCAATTTGTCTTTCCTGGCATAGTAGACATATGATTGTTCAATTTCAAATGGCCAATACCAGTCCTTGTCAGCTCACCAATGCCTAGGATGGACTCTTGGTGTGGCGCTGAAGGATAAGCACTGGACTACTAACCACAAGACTAGTAGTGGTTCAAACTCACCATCTGCTCCTGGGAAACCCTGTATATACATGATTGCCATGAGTCAGAACTGACTCCACAGCACTGTTAAGTGCTGTGGCTAGGATATTGATCTTCAAGCATTTCATTTCATTTCTGATAACTTCCACATTCTGGTTATTGATGAATGTTTGCAGTTATTTGTTCTCATTTTGAGTTGTTGTTATTGTGGTTCAAACCGACCTTGCAGTCCAGTGTTTATCCTACCGCGCCACACCAGGAGATCCAGGAAGCTTTTCTCTTTTCATGTTATTAAGGTTGACTCTGCTTTGAGGAGCTAGGTCTTTCCCAGTCTTATTTTGAATGCCTTCTAAGCTGAGAGCCGTGTCTTCTGGAACTATATGAGATAATGTCCCACTGCTGGCCATAGAGTTGTCACTGGCTCGTTGTTTTTCACCAGGTCCTCATTCCTACTCTTTCTTAGTCTGGGTGCTCCACTGAAAACTGTCCACCCTGGGGGTGACTCTTGCTGGTATTTGGCATTCTGGTGACACAGTTTCCTGTATCACCGCAGAGCACAAGCTGCCACAGTATCACAGGCTGGCAGACAAGTGGAGGAAGATTTTATTTCACTTAGATAAATGCTTACTATCTTTAAACACCATCCATGTGGTTCGTGTTTCAGCTTCTGAATGCCAAATTCCTGGAGTACCTGGAGGATGTGCACGTGTGGATCTCGGTATACAGCCGGCCCTCGTCCAGCTGCTATCTGCATGCACAGCGGCTCACAGTGTCCTTCTCCTTGTTGTACACGTACTCCTGGCTCACTGCTACATTCACTGCAGCACAGCACGAGCAGGTGGGAGACTCCGATTTCCCAGTCACGGGCCTGCAGTGTGAACCTTTCTTACTAAGGCGTTAGCAACATTCAAGCTTTTACCCAGGGGAGCGACTTTGGAGCTGTAAGGGACAAGACGTGTGTGCGCCAGAGGAGGTGCCAGAGGAGGATCTGTAAGGTGGGGGCTTTGGGGGACATAAGGCCTGCCCTGCTTCCCTGTGGTGCCACATAGGGGGAGTTTTCAGGATGTGTCTTCAGGATGTGTTGACAACTGGAATTTTCTTCGGTACTCTCTTGGATTTTTTTTTTTAAATGTTAGTAATTAATTCCAATTAAAAAAAAAATTACCCTCAGCTAAAAATCAACTCTGCTGGCAGCATTTACTATTGCAATGCCAGTTTGTCATTTTTCATTAGGTATGAAGACTACTTTTAAATAAGCGCCAGAATTTAAAATAGAAAATGGAACTTGAAGTTTCCTGAAACAAACAAAACGGGGAAATAATTGGCATTCATTTCTCCTGACAGCCATGTGGCTGTTTGTGGAACCCCACACCACTGAGTTCACAAGACCCCTCTGCAGCTGGAGAACTCAGGACTGGAGTTAGCAGTCCTCTGTGTGGAGATGGACAATGGTGGGCAATGGCTGCTCCCCCATTCACAGCACATGGGATAACAGGGATGTATTGGGAGAGTCTTCTTTAAAAGAAGAATATGTGCACATAATTTATAGAAAGATGATGCAGCTAGAGTCCTGGTCTGCACTGTAACTAAGCACTGAACTAGCCACAAGGTCAGCTGTTCAAACCCACCAGTTGCTTCTTGGAAACCCTATGTAGAGTCGCTGTGAGTCAGAACCGACTTCAGAGCACTTAACAACAACAACACAGCAAACAAAAATCTGCTCTGTGCACTTGGGAAAATGAACCAAAATTTGACCTTTTCCCCTAACATTGGCAAGTTGTCCGACCCTAGACCACTCAGTTACATTGGTGATATTGGTGTGTGTTGCCTAAGACAGCAGTTAAGGATGATATCTTTGAGGACACTGAGCCTCGCTGGTGCCTGGAAGGTGATGGGTTGTTTAATCCTAAAAATTGTATGTGAGGAAAACGGAATGATTGCCCTTGAGGTGAAAGATCAACAGTTCATATGTATGTGTAGTCACAGATCTCCATGTATGTGTAGTTACAACGATCATGCATCTTTCAGATATGTGTGTGTTGGCATAATGTTGTGGTTGTCCTTTTCAGCTCTCACTGGACATTGGTCCCAGCTGCCTGACCATTGGCGCCTTCAGGACAGGCCTTCTATGTACTCTTGTGGCTTCTCCAGGGGCATTGCTATTATCCCTGCTCTTCCGGCTCAGCCAGGTATACGGCGCTGTCCTCCAGCCCCTGTCCTCCCGAGGAGCGTCTCTGCTATTGGGTGATAGTCGGTTCTTAACAGCCTTTCCCTCTGCAGGGGACCACAGGGCCAACCAGAGAGAAGCGTCACTTCAGGGAGAGAGCCACACCAGGGGTGGTGACTCAGGGTAAGTAATGTGGAAAATGAAGTTTGGCAGGGGAAGGTCAAAGAAACCGTCCCCCTGTAGCTGATCTTTCTTAAACAGTTTACCAGGTAGAAATTATAGCTCCTCATGTTAATTTGAAGAAACCCTAGTAGTGCAGTGTTTAAGTGTTAGGCAGAAGCTCTGCAGGAGAGAAGACCTGGCAATCCACACCTGTAAACATTGTTGTTGTGTGCTATCGAGTCCCTTGTGTCTCATGGCAACTCTATCGGACAGACTAGAAGTACCCCGTGATGTTTCCTAGACTGTAATTTGTAAGGAAAGTTCTAGCCAAATAGTGGGTTATACACACTGGGCTGCTAACTGCAAGACCCACCTTGAAAGAAAGGGAAGCTATCTGCTCCCAGAAAGACGTGCAGCCTCAGATACCCCTACGTAGGGTCAGTGCGAGCTGGGATTGACTCCCGGCAGTGCAGTCTTTAAGGGCGCAGATTTGCAGCTCTTTCTCCCACATGGGATCATGCCACCAATCTGTCTGCTTAACCACTATGTTACTAGGGCTCCTTTCTGTGAAGCCTGGTGTGGTGGGATAAATGCTGTCAGTAAATTCTAACTCATAGAGATCCTGTTAGGGTTTCCAAGGAATGGCTGGTGGCTTTGAACCACCAACTAGTAGTTAATAGTCCAGTGCTGATTCTACAGCACCACTCACACAACCTAGGAAAGGAGATGAGGCAACTCTTCTCTGTCATACTGGGTCACAGAATTCAACAGCACGCGGCAGGAATAGCAACAACTGTGTTCATTTGCATTGTGTTATTTATGACAGACGTTCAGCATCATTTTATACATTTAAAAGCCATTTTACTGTTTTCTGTGATCTGTCTAATTCCTTTGCCAGTGCGTATTTTAACTTTTCAAAATCCATTTTTCTTCCTTATGTGTTAAGTGCTTCTCATACAATAAATAAATGAGGACTTTAGCAAATGGGTACTTAGCATTTTTTCTAGTTGCTATTGTTATTTGAGCTGGATCATTAATTTTTTCTTTTTCTCATAAAGCTCTACTTTTTCAGCTAAACATTGTCCTCAAGTTGTTCTGCTTCTACACGGCAGCCTGCAGTGGGAGTGGGAAGGGTTGTTCAAGTTCACCCTAGGAACTTGAGAAAGTCTAATCCATTCTGGTGGAGTCAGGAGGGAGGGAAGATACTGCCCTAGTAAAACCTCTAGTTAAGCACCATATAGGTGACTTTTGTTTTTTGTTTTTTTTTTAAATAAGGTCCAAGTTCCCAGGAAAGGATACTAGATGTCCAGAAGAAATATAAGGTAAGCAGACAATTATACACAGGAGGGAATTCTCCCATTTAACATTCTAACAGTTCGATTTTCTTGGCAGTCTGTCTTGACTGAGGTCTGACACAGAATGAACAACCACCAGGTGGGTTGAAGACACTGACAAATCTGCGGAAAACGCTATGCTAGTCCGGCTAATAGACAGAAGTGGGTCCTTCAGGAGAGGAAGGACATGTCTAGGCCACAGGCCATGGGGGGCCATTGTTTAGGAAAAGTCAGGAGGAGTCTCAACAGAAACAAGAAGGTGTGCAGCCCAATAGAATAAGGAAGCCAACTGCGTGTGTTAGTGAACTTTTAGCAGCTAGGCTAAGGGCACAAGTGGACAGGGCTTTTCAGTTCTCGTGAGAGTTGTGCTGTGGAAGGAAGTATTTGGGGGAATTTGGGCTCATGCACAACAAGTGCCACTCTCGATCTTAAGTGGGACAGATGTGATTGTGATTCAGGGTCCTTTGAAGGGTAATTTCTAAGCATCTCCACCACATTATCCCATTAATGTTTTGCTCTATTGGTAGTAAGTGTGACTCTTTCACCTGGAAGATTTTAGGGCACATAGAATTACTTTTATTTTTTATTATTGTGGTAAATATATATATGGAGTCCTGGCATGTCACTGTAGGATAAGCACTGGACTACTAACCACAAGGTTGGCAGTTCAAACCCAGCAACTGCTCACTGGAAACTCTATACAGGTTTACTAAGAGTCAGAACCAATTCAACAGCACTTAACAACAGTAATATGTATACATAGGGAGCACAGTGGCTTGATAGGGTAAGTACTGGACTGGGAACCACAAGGTCAGCGGTTCTAGTCCACCAGCTGCTTTGCAGGAGAAAGATGAGGCTTTCTGCTCCACAAAAACTTACAGCCTTGGAAACCCTATACAGAGTCACTATGAATCGGAACCGACTCAAGAGTACTGGACAAGAACAAGACCAGCAACATACATACATGTGCGTGGTGCTGTGGTATAATGCACTGGACTGCCAGGTCAATTTGAACTGCAAGGTTGGCAGTTCAAACTCACCAACTGCTCCTCAGAAACCCTATACAGGGTCACTATGTGTCAGACCCGACTCAACAGCACTTAGTAACAACAACAACAACAACAACATAGATAGCAAAATATTTGTCAGTTCAATAATTAATTCATTGATATTGATTCCGTTCGCCCTGTTGTTACAGCATCCCCACTGTCCTTTTCCAGTGCGTCCACCACCATTGACGGAAGTTGAATACTACCCAAGCACTGGCTGCATTTTTTATTTTCTCCAAGTCTCGAACTTTCCTGTTCGACAGTCCCATGGTTCCTCCTGCTCCTAGGGCTTGATTTCCAGTCCCTTTCATGAGTCATGCCTCCTTCCCAATTTTCTGCTTTGAGTGTTCCCCAAACACCACACTAGTGTTATGTTATTCAGAATCATTGTGGCTAGAATTCTCACCTCCAAGAGGATCTAGAATATGAATCCCAAAGAGCAGTTCTCTCTTGACCGCAGTGAAAGGCCACCAGAATGCCATCAAAATGCCACCACTGCTCCAAGGACACACAACTACTCTCTGAGGGCAAAAGGAGTTGGTTCCAGAAATAAATCACATTTCTCCTCACTCCCCTGTTCTCCGAATTCACCCAGAGGTCTGAGGCCTTATGAAGCCCTCCCAACACCATGTCACGCCATCCCCTAAGGCTTATAAACCATGTTGCTGTTAGCACAGAGCAGTATGGGTAAATCTCTCTCTGTTGATACACTAACCATGTCCTAAGTGTTTGTTTGTTTTTTTCTAGTGTAACACATCAGACATCCTCTCTGGGAATGACTGTGGCCAGAAAGGTGATCCCAGTAAGTCTGCTCACTGTGGGGGGGAAGTGTTGCCCATTCTCTCAGCATGTACAAAATTACATGTGTGTTATGATTGACATGTGAAAGTTAAGTCTGTCTCCCTTGCTCAGCCTCAGCCTACAGCAATGGGGACAATGGGACAAGCGAAGGGGGGAGGTTGAACAAATGTTCTAACGTCTTTTAAAAGCAGGATGTGGGCACAGCTACAGTGGAGGTGTCCCATATATTCCAGAGTTTCTGTCATGAACTTACAAAATGTTCTTGGTCTTTCAAAAGTCACTAACAGAATCTTAAATTTTCTTTAAGCATTTTGAAATTTGAAGCTTTCCATTTTTAAAATACTAATTAGAGTAAAATATGCCTACAGTGTAGATTATTCTGGAAACTCAGGGATGAGCCATTGGAGACAGGACTGGGGAAATAATCAGTATTCATGGGACTGGGTTCCTGGAAGCCTAAGAGGGTGGTTAAGTATAGAGCAGTAATGACCCAGAGTGGGAACAGTCTCGGGCCTGGCGTGGCAGGGAGCCAGGGGTCTGGAGCTGGCACGCAGTTGTGTGTCTTGGGCAGCTGAGTAGATGAGCAGACGGATTTCTCAAACTCCGTCCTTAGGTGTGCACTGCTGATTGAAGGAGAGCAGATGTGGGTGTGTATACCATTGCAGAGGACTTTACACTAGAGGAGTGTAAAAGTGTTGTTTGTGTGAGTGAGTGAGGCCTTTGGCACAAGAGCCAGACTCAGTCCAGGTCACTAGTATTGGCAGGGTGTCAGATTCTGGTCACACACACACAGAGCCTCAAGTGTGGACTGGGCAGGAAAATGAGAGTAGAGAGTGCCAGGCGCCTGCCCCACACACCGGGTGGACAGGAGATGGCTAAGGAGCTGCCTCTCCTACAGCCAGTTTCTCTGTCTAAATCTGTTGTGCTACTCTGCCCAAATTATGAAGTAGCCTCTGGAGGAGCCTGCCTATGAGCCATCTACCTGTGAACTTGCCCATTCGGAGGCAGAGAGCACATCTTAGAGGGGACTGGGGAATCTGAAGGAACATGGCTATGCCCCTAACTTTGATGGTATGTGAGGACTTGATCCAAATCATGGAAGAACCCGCTGACTCCAGGGCATCCTGTTCCATCCTCTGGGGTATGCGATAGAAATTGGTTCATCATACTCTGAGATTGAGGGATTCTTGGTAGACTTAGGGTACAGAAGGATAAGGGAATTTGGGTTTTCTGGCGGCCAAGACAAAAAGAAGTTAAAAATCCCACGTTGGTAAATATCAGGGCTGCTAACAGCATTACTCTCTGCCCTGTTCTTCCTAAGCACCCAGTGGAGGCCTTGCTTCCCAATGGCAGAGGACGCTTCCACCTTGGTCACGTTCTGTAGCCTGGGTGCTGTGTATGATGGTGTCTGTTGCCACTGGTGTGGGAACAGGAGTCCTAGGATATAGGTGAGTCATAAAGTTGTGTGTGTTGCTGTTCACCTTCTGTTGTTAACTGAGTCCGTTTTATAGTTAACAAATCAATCATCTTGTTTCATCTTGATTGCAGTCCTCTCACTGTAGCATCATGCATCCCTCTTCCTCCCTGTGTTTTGTGCTTCTAATCCTCCTCCTTTCCTCATCCTTCTGAATTGTGATGCTTTTTGGATCTTGAATGGTGTGCACACTTCACTCCTGTTATTCCCGCTATATACCTATCTATTGTTTATCTGAAAATTGAGCCACAAAGGTGAGTTCAGTTCTTGAGCTGCAGAGTGACCAAGGGCCGTAGTCTCGTGGTTTGACCAGTCTCTCTCTGACCAATAATCCTGGTGCTTTTGATGATTCTGAGTTCTGTTCCTCATTTTCTCCCTCTCTATCCAGGACTTTCTACTGTGTCCCTTTCAGAGCAGTTGGTAGTGGCAGCCAGGCACCATCTAGTTCTTCCGGTCTCAGGGCTGTGGACACTGATGTGTCCAGGGGCCACTACTCCATTGCTCTAATAATTTCCAAGTGTCTACAGTGCTCATCACTCTTCTTTTCTTCCGACAAGGAGAGACCAATAGTGGCACCTTAGATTTCCACTCATGAGTTAAGATCCCAATTATTAATCACCAAAGTAGAATGTTCTGCCAAATGATCATGGTGCCCCCCAAGACTAGAGCCATAAAGCTTTTAAAATATCTTCCAGTCCTTTGACTGAAGTTCAGCATTTATAAATCTTCTCATATCTGGGAGCACATGAAATTCAGGCACCACATGTCGCCACTGCAATTTTTCTCCCTCATTAACCCTTGAGTGAATAAAACCTTCTACAAACTCCATGTGGTTGCTTGACCTGCCTAGGTCTGTAGCTACAGTCTAAGCTAATGTGGGCTCCAGGTATAACAAGAAGCTTCAGGATCTATCATCTTCATAACCAGTAGTTACAAAGCTACTAAACGGTCCGGCACCAAGCTGGTATGCCAGTGAGAGGGGCACAGTGCCTGACACCCACTAAGTACTCAGCCAACGTTCATTCTATTATAGTTGTTGTTGTTACTGTCACACCACACTCTTCCCTCCCTTTTCTGGTGTCTGTGCCCTCTTCTCTGTCTATGCATTGGGTTTTCCTTTGTTTTTCTTACTGAGCAGTTTCACGGAGGTTGGAACCTTTCTTTGAGCAGGAAGAGTGACCCCCTTCCAGTGTGCAGAGATGCTGCACCCACGTCCAGGAGCCCCCTCCTCTGCTGTGGCCACGACCAACACCACGAGACTCCAGAGATGTCATCTTTTCTATATCTATGCTGCCCTTGTGGGGGCATTTACCCCAGCTCTCTCTCTTGAGGCAGGTTTGGCCCGACTCAGTGTGTGCACTGGTTGATTCTACTGTTCTTCTCTGTGATGGACTGTGCTTTCATCACCCAACCTCTGATGGTAAGGAACACCCACCATGTGAGAGCAGCTGCCCATGAACCAGGAGGAAAAGGAAAGTAATTGGCATCATTGTGGTAATGTTGTAGATTAAAGCTTGAGATGTGATGTGATGAGGGAAAGCTGGATGCTACGCCCCGTCCTAAACACCACATGGCATGTTATTTTATCTCCACAAGTGTCTCATTTTACATTTGTAGAAAGCGAGCACTAGAGAACCAAAGCCCATGGCCATTCCTAATGATTATATTAGGAATCAAAGGCAGGAGACAAGTGTCTGTTTAGAGCCAGGAGGTAGGGGGGTCCCATGTGTGATTAGATTAACAGGAAGACAGCTCTGATGGTTGAACTGTACCCAATGGATGTACTGCTCTTTTTTCTAGATATGGTTGATGGCATTGGACTTTGCTTGGAAGAAAAAAGATGATAAAGCTTTCTTTACTGAGTCTTTGTATGATGCAACCAAGGATTTAGAATCTGAATTGGAGCAAATTTCCCAGACTTGCATCCCCCTTGCTTCAAGCTGTGGTATTCCCAACTGTGCCAGTGAATTTGAAAAAGTGAGAAAACTATATAGCATCAATTGTAGCTTTAAAAAATTGCTTTGTATTCTCATCATGTAACCTTAAATCATTCTTAAAACTCAAGTTTGATTGTGTTCTGTGGGAACCATGGAACATAACCTTAATTTCCTACTTTCTGTCATTCCTTCCTCTCTGCCTATTGTATGTATGTATATCACAATTCTTGTGAATTGTGGATACCGTGAAGGAAGGCTGGTAGGTTTGAACCACCAACCTTGAGGGTAGCAGTCCAGTGCTTTTCCTATAGCACCACACCAGGATTAATGGTGAAGTGGCTTTGTCAGGTGCAAGCCCCTCACCTTCCTTACCTCACCTGGAACTCCTGATCATGATGATGATAAATATATATTGAGTATAAAATACATACTAGTCATTGTGCTGAGCACTTGATTTACATTTGTTATATCACAAAATACCTGATGAAGTATGTCACCTTATTGAATACTGTTTTAAAGATAAGAAAAATTGAGGCTTAAAGAGGTGAAGTAACTTTATCACGATCATGTAAGCAGTAAGTGATAGATTTCACTCACATCTTGTAAATTTCCCCCCTTTTTTCCCTGAATTCCCTTTTCTCCATCATGTTAACTTATTGACATGTTGTACAACTCTCAGCACTCTCCATTTCCCATCACATCAGCTTTTGAGAAACAGTATCGCTCAGATTTCCCCTTTGGGTCTCAACGTTCCTGTCTTCTTCAAAGGCTCTCGTTCCTACTCTGTTCTCTGTGGTCAGCTGCATCCCAGAATACTGCATCTCAGCCTCAGAGATGAGGCCCCTTTCCCTAACTGGCCAGAGTTTCAATATCCTCCTAAAGGCCAGCCTGACATCCCTAAACACGTGTTGTTATCTCATGAGGACATAACGCTAGCACTTTAATAAGTATCCCCTCTCCCCTCCCCCCCCCATCCAAGTTTCTCCGTGGAGTGGAGTCCCTCTCTGGTGAACCCACAGTGATGATTCTTCAGGATTCTGTGTACATCAGCTAGAGGTAGTGTCTGAATCCCCGACCATCATGTGTATCCACTCTGGCATGTGTAACATTCTGCTTTATATTGCAGTTGTTTTTGTACTTGGAGCTTATTTCCTAAAAGACCTAATGAAAAGAAAGAACTTTTTCTGATTTCTTACAATATTACCAGGACCTGCCCCCATGCCTAGCTCAGGAAATGGGTAGTGAATAAAGTAATGTGGAAATAAGAAAAATAAATTAATGTATTTAATGGATTTAACTGGCTAATGACTGTAAACAGATATACTATAAAAGTGATAATCTCATTTTTTTAAAAAAAAGGAAAACAAAGATCATTTCTTGCTAGGACTATTTTTAAACAACTTTCCATGCTTTAAGACTCTCCCCGCACCCCTCCCCCCAAAAATCCTGTGTAAATACCATGGTAATTATTCCTGTAATTGGAAAGTAGTAGATACACCTGATATGTAAAGCAAATCTTTGGAATGGCCCAGTTGCAACCCCTGCCAAAAAAGCTGGCTTCGGATAGGTGCAGACTTTTAAAGTGGGCTCCCTTCTCCCACACCCACAACAACCTTGTGTATGTCATTGGAAGGAAGTAACTCTTTGTTCTCCAAATACCAGCCAGAGTATACAACATGGCAATGGCCTGGTCCCCAGCTTAGAAAGATTGCCAGGGACCTCCCTTCTGTCATGGCAGCCTGGGGTTCAACATGCTCTTGTCTCTGACAGATATTGGCTACTCGTCAGCGAGCACGCCAACTGCGCTGGGCTCATCCACCATCCACAGCACAGCTCAAAGCAACCAAGAGGAAGATGAGGAAAGAGTTTCGTGCACGAACAGCTCTGAGGTGGGTGTGAGCAACATTGCTAGGTTTGTTGGGGTCTAGCGCCCCATCAGGAAGAAAGTCCTCCAACCTTACAAGGGCTTCATCCAGCCATTCTTGAAGGTTGTTCACACCTGGGGCTGAGGGGTGGAAAGGGGAAATGTCCCTGGCCCCAAAGCCACCCTTTTCAACATCATACCCCATTCTTTCAGTTACATGACATCCAGCAAAACAGAATTGGAGTCAGAAAACTTGTTTCTGCAACTTGCCGGTGATGAAAATTTGGCCAAGACGCTTGACGCCTTTGGCCTTCAACTTCCTTCATCATTCCTATGCTCACATAAATGTTGGGATGTAATCCTTACACATGTATGCACTTAGCTCACTTAATACACGCACCCTTGGGTGATAAATAGAGCACCTCTTCCTAGCGCACTGACTTAACTCAGTGGCAAGCACTTCAAATATAACATGATGAATACAACACCTCTCCCTAGAGGATCAATTTAATCAATGACTAGCATTTTAAAATAGTTTAGGAGTAAAATATGCACAAATAGATTTTAGTGCTCGTGCTCATTACAAAATCTCTGTACGGTTTTTTCATATAAAACAAAGTACTTATGAAACATGCTATTGGAAAACCTCTCCAACTTCGTCCTCAGACACATTTCTCTCAGTGATGCCCATTCTCCTTCCTCATCCACGGTAGTTGCTGGATTGAAACTACAGGAAGAAGTCTTCCATAAAGACTATCTGAGACTCTTCTTAAAATTCTAAGCATGAATTTGATCTCCCAAGTATTTCTGACAGTGTTCATCAGTGACTTCGGAATTCCTATTTTTCCAAAAATGATGTTGCCAACGGTACACATGAATGAACTCAGGGGCTTCAAAAAGGTCACGGAAAATGGGATTTAAAAATGGTGGGATTTTCCCACAAACATTTTGAAGCTCCCTCTTATTTAGGTATGACAGAGACTATCTCCACATATATATTTGCATATGCTATAAATAAATATATCCATGAATAGCAGAGGGCAAAATTATAGAAAGTTCTTAGCCATAATTAGACACCTTGAGAAAACGAGTTGTTGGATATAGGGGCTTAGATCCATCGTCTGAGAGGACATCAAGGTCAATTGACACAAACAACATAATTCACAAAGAAAATGTTTTATATCCAACTCTGGTGAGTAGTGCCGGGGTCTGAAAAGCTTGAGAGCAGATGGGTCTTTCCGCATCTGGAGACAAAAAGAATCAAAGATTCATGTTGGCCATGTAAACTTCGGCCACTGTAGCCCTGAGACCACTACCAACTGAAAGGGATCACATTAAAAGTTCCAGGATAGATGGGAGACAAATGTGGAACAAACCTCAAAACTATATAAAAAGACCAGATAGAGATTGGTGGAACCCCTGAGACTATGGACCTTAGCTACCCTTCAGGCCTGGAATGGAATGTATCCCTATAGTTCAATTTTGGGGCAAGCAATGTATAGGTCTATAATGTCACCAGTAGCACTAGGAAGGTACATGCTCCTTAGAACAATCACCCAAGAACAAAAGGGCAGCATTTGCCTGGGGACAAAGTTCCAAAGTCAACAGTGATAAGAAAGAGGGAACAATGAGGGAAACCCTGAAAAAACGGTATGACTGATGTTTTGTTGTGAGGATTGTAACTGATGGTATTAAACAAAGTGTGTCCAGACTGTTAGTAGAAAAATGAGTTTTTAAGTGAATATTCACCCAAATAACAATTTAAAAGAAAAATAAAGTAAAAACAAAACAAAAAACCCCAAAGTGTCTTATGGAACCAGCTCCAACCATTTGTATCAAAAAACGATTAAGTTCATTACACTTGGGTCCTCCTTTAATATGGACACATTCTGAAGCAAATTTGTTAGCAAATAGAGACGTTGTAGTTGTATTTAAATATCAAGTTTAAAAGAGGCAGAGACAATGATGTGGAGAGATGGAGCAGCTGGGGACTTGAGATCCAGAGAGGGAGAGGGGCTGTGTGTTGATG